TTGGCGTCTTTGTTCGTTTTGCTCACTAGACGGGATTCGAAGCCGTGTCCTTCACGTGTCAAGGGTGACCCACCCTTCCTGTCCTGTCCCCTCGGCAATGCCGCCTCCTCAGGGACGCATCAACCCCTACTCTATCCCTGATGAACATCTGTTGCATCACCCAATTCCCTGACCCCCCACCCCTGCCCCCAGCTTGTGCCCGATGTAGTACAGGGACTACCTCTACTTACAAACATTCGACTTGGGAACTTTCAGAGATACGTGCAAACCTGTCCGTATGTCCCGTTACCGCAGTTCAACGATGCCATTGCCCGTCGCAAGTTGATTTGCGCGGAGATGAAGAGAACAACTGTGCAGACATCTCTTAGTAGGTATTTCAAGAGAATAGAGAGGAAACACGTGCCAAAGGGAATTAGAAATAGTGGCTTCTACATCTGCAGAGCGTGAAGAACCAGTGGCATCTACATTTGCAGAACGTGAAGAACCAGTGGCATCTCCATCTGCAGAACGTGAAGAAATTAGTGGCTTCTACATCTGCAGAGCGTGAAGAACCAGTGGCATCTACATCTGTAGAACGTGAAGAAACAGTGGCTTCTATATCTGCAGAACATGAAGAAATAGTGGCTTCTACATCTGCAGAACGTGACGAATCGGTGGCATCTGCAGAACGTGAAGAACCAGTGGCATTTACATCTGCAGAACGTGAAGAACCAGTGGCATTTACATCTGCAGAACGTGAAGAACCAGTGGCATCTACATCTGTAGAACATGAAGAACCAGTGGCATTTACTTCTACAGAACGTGAAGAATCAGTGGCATCTACATCTGCAGAACGTGAAGAACCAGTGGCATTTGCATCTGCAGAACGTGAAGAATCAGTGGCATCTACATCTACAGAACATGAAGAACCAGTGGCATCTACATCTGTAGAACGTGAAGAACCAGTGGCATCTACATCTACAGAACGTGAAGAACCAGTGGGATCTACATCTGGAGAACGTGAAGAACCAGTGGCATCTACATCTGTAGAACGTGAAGAACCAGTGGCATCTACATCTGTAGAATGTGAAGAACCAGTGGCATCTACAGAATGTGAAGAACCAGTGGCATCTACATCTGCAGAACGTGAAGAACCAGTGGCATCTACATCTGTAGAACGTGAAGAAACAGTGGCATCTACATCTGCAGAACGTGAAGAACCAGTGGCATCTACATCTGCAGAACGTGAAGAACCAGTGGCATCTACATCTACAGAACGTGAAGAACCAGTGGCATCTACATCTGCAGAACGTGAAGAACCAGTGGCATCTACATCTACAGAACGTGAAGAACCAGTGGCATCTACATCTGCAGAACGTGAAGAACCAGTGGCATCTACATCTGTAGAACGTGAAGAACCAGTGGCATCTACATCTGGAGAACGTGAAGAAGCAGTGGCATCTACAGCTCTCTCCCTCCCTGCCCCCCTCTCCCTCCCTGCCCCCCCGTCTCTCTCCCTCTCTGCCCCCCCGTCTCTCCCCCTCTCTGCCCCCCCGTCTCTCTCCCTCCCTGCCCCCCTCTCCCTCTCTGCCCCCCCATCTCTCCCCCTCTCTGCCCCCCCATCTCTCTCTCTCTCTGCCCCCCGTCTCCCTCCCTCCCTGGGCCCCCGTCTCTCTCCCTCCTTCCCAACTGAATCCCCCTAACCTCTCGCTTATAAATCGACGAAGGTTCGGCGCCCTCTGATGTCTCTCTCTCTCTTCCTGTCTTCCCCTCGCCTCCCCTTCTCTTTGCCGATCTCTCGCGACGTCTCTGCCCCTCCCCTCTTCTCGCCCCGTCTCTCTCGCTCCGTCCGAACCGGACCCCCCTAGCCTCTGCCTCAAGAACCGTTGAATGAAATTCCTCTGATGGCTGTCTCTCTCTCTCTCTTGCCGCGCTCCCCACGCCGCCTCGTCTCTGCGTCTCTCGCTCGCCGCGTCTCTGGCCCTCGACTCTTGCTGCGCCGTCTCTCTCTCCCCTCTTCCCCTCCCGCTCCCCGACTCCGCCCCGGTTCCGTGCCCCTCAGGCCGAGCTCCTGCCCCTCGCTGACCTTCATCTGCCCCCCCCCCCCTTCGCTGCCCTCCCTCACGAGACCTCCCACGCACAATTCCTTGGTCCCATCCCTCTCTCGCCTCGCTCCCGCACTTCTTCATGGAAGCTCTTCGTGGGACGCGTCTCCTCCGGGCGCCGTTCGGCCTCCTGCAAGCACCTCCTGCACGCACCTCCTGCACGCACCTCCTGCACGCACCTCCTGCAAGCACCTTGTGCACCGCCACTGCCAAAGACAAAGATCCCCCGTATAGCCTCTAACAGAGTAGCAGCACTTATCAAGGCCGGCACTGTGGCACACGGGGGGGTGGGTCACCACGATGCTTGTGCACACACCACACACACACAGTCACACACAGTCACACACACACACAGTCACACACAGTCACACACCCCACAGTCACACACCACACACAGTCACACAAACACAGTCACACAACACACACAGTCACACACAGTCACACACAGTCAGACACACAGTCACACCACACACAGTCACACACAGTCACACACAGTCACACAAACACAGTCACACACCACACACAGTCACACAAACACAGTCACACACACCACACACAGTCACACACCACACACCACACACAGTCACATACCACACACAGTCACACACCACACACACACACCCCACACACAGTCACACACCACACACAGTCACACACCACACACACCCCACACACAGTCACACACCACACACAGTCACACACAGTCACACACGACACACACACCACAAACAGTCACACACCCCACACAGTCACACACCACACACACCACACACACACCACACAAACCCACCTTGGAATGAATTGTGCACGTGTACTGCAGCTGCTGCTACTGCAGCTGCTGAAGATGCTGCTACTGCTGCTGGAGAGACGTCGCTGCGCCTTCGAAAGAGGCTGCTGCAACTTGCTGAATCCGCTCCCTGTTGAGCTGCACTACTGCAAGTTCAAGTTCATGTATTAGGTGTAGCCCTGTGAGTCTGGTGCAACCGCAACAAACAAAAAACAAAAGCATGAACAAAAAACATCTTAAAGTGACTATGTGACTAAGTGCAAACAGAAAATGTGGCGAATGGGGGTTGTTGTTGTTGTTGTTGTGTGTGTCGGTGTGTGTGTCTGTGTGTGTGACTGTGTGTGTGTCTGTGGTGTGTGACTGTGTGTGTGGTGTGTGAGTGTGTGTGACTGTGTGTGTGGTGTGTGACTGTGTGTGTGTGACTGTGTGTGTGTGACTGTGTGTGTGGTGTGTGTCTGTGTGTGTGACTGTGTGTGTGGTGTGTGTCTGACTGTGTGTGTGACTGTGTGTGTGTCTGTGTGTGTGGTGTGTGTCTGTGTGTGTGACTGTGTGTGTGTGTGTGACTGTGTGTGTGGTGTGTGCACAAGCGTCCTGGTGACGTCACCACCACTTCAAGTTCAAGTATTAGGTGTAGCCCTGTGAGCCATTCGGCTCTTGAATCGGGTACAACCGCAACAAACAAAAACATGAACAAAAACATCTTAAAGTGAATATGTGACTGAGTGCAAACAGAAAATCTAAGAAAAGACAGCAAAATATTGCAGACAAAAAATCACAGTTACACCAACTCTGTGTGCAAAAATCCCAACAGACAACAAATCGATTAACGAATTAAATCGGCTAACCCTCTATAGATTATTGGTTCTTTCTGTTATAAAGTCACGTAAATAGAAAAAAATTATAATAAAATATTGAAAAAATGGCGTGTTTTGCTTTTATTATTTTCCATTTTTTTTTCTTATTTTTTATTTTCCATCGACGCGATTTTACCAAAAGAACCAAGAATATGAATTCCTGCAGTCACGAAAGTTTTAAGTCTAAATTGATCCGCTAAGCCGTCAAGGCAAGTGATCTGTTAATCAATTGCTGTTATAACCGTACCGGCTTCAAGTAGCAGCAGCAGCAGAGAGACACGTGGCACCACTGCAGCTCCCACGTGACAGCGTCTGGCCACGCCCAGCGCGGGTCACGTGTCAGGAAGGGGCGGGGGTTAAGCACCACGTGGGCAGAGCCCCCAGGTGTCATTGGCTGTCTGCGTGGTGTCGTCTGTGGGTCTCTGTGTGGTGAGTCAAGTTCAAGTTCATGTATTAGGTAGAGCCCTGTGAGCCATTCGGTTCTTGAATCGGGTGCAAACTGAAAAAACAAAAAAACATGAACAAAAAAACATCTTAAAGTGACTATGTGCAAACTGAAAAAACAAACAAAAACATGAACAAAAAACATCTTAAAGTGACTATGTGCAAACTGAAAACACAAACAAAAAACTAAAACATGAACAAAAACATCTTAAAGTGACTACGTGCAAACTGAAAAAAACAAAAACATGAACAAAAAACATCTTAAAGTGACTATGTGACTGAGTGCAAACAGAAAATCCAAGAAAAGACAGCAAAATATTGCAGAAAAAAATCACCGTTACACCAACGCTGTGTGCAAACATCCCAGTGGGATGCAAGTCAAACAACCAACAACAACCACAAGACAACTTAGATAGTCGATGGGTCTCTATCAGTAATTCTACATTTGAAGCTTTCGTGACTGCCAGGAGTAGGTTTTTTCGGTAAAGTCACGTAGGTAAAAATACAAATAATATAAAAAATAATAAAAAAAATCACGACGTTTCGCAGGCAACACAAACTTCCTTCATCAGGTGTAAAAAAGCACAGAAAAAAACCTGTACGTCGTGATTTATTATTTTATTTCTATTATTATTTACATTATTTTTTATTATTTATCTCTTCTGTAGTCTATGGGTCTCTGTGACCCCCCCCTCGTGCGGATCGTGAATCGAGGTCAGAATCGACCGACGGCTTGCAATCGAAGTCGATTCTAACGTAATCGCATGGAGGAATCGATCCACGGATCGATCCGACGACATCACCGTTAACCAAATCGCAATGGAGGTAGAAGCCAACAGCTTCCATCGAGTCGCGAAGTTGCCACCTCCTCTACCTCCTCCTCTACCTCCTCCTCTACCTCCTCTACCCCCTCTACCTCCTCTACCTCCTCAATTGCCTCGCGACATCAACGACCCTCCCACAGCAACAGCGGCAGCGGAATCAGCAACAACGAAGTCAACACCCGCCACTGAGGCCTACACCGCCATGCAGCCTGCGGTCTCTGCCCAAGCCGCGTCGCATTCTGCGGGGGAGATTCAGGCGAGGGGCGGTGGCTGCGAGGAGGAGGAGGAGGAGGAGGAGGATGAAGCGATGCAGTTGCTGACCATCGTAACCGGCGATCTCATCTCCGGCTACGTGGCTCACCTGACGCAGCAGACGGAGCAGCAGCAGCAGCCTGTGCAGCAGCAGCAGCCTCTGCTGCAGCAGGGGCTGCAGCAGCAGCTGCAGCAGCAGCTTCAGCAGTTGCAGGAGCAGCTCCCGGCGGTGCAGCAACATCTCCTGCTGTCGCAGCAGCAGCAGCAGCAGCAGTGGATGGAGAAGCTCTGGCAGCAGCAATTCCAGCACATGCAGCAGGTGCAGGAGCAGCTCCAGCAGGTGCAGCGGCAACAGGAGCTTGTGCAGCAGCTGCAGCAGCAGGAGCAGCTCCTGGATGTGCAGCAGCAGCAGCAGCTGCTGCAGGAGCTGCAGAAGAAGTATCAGCTCCAGGAGGTGCAGCTGATGCGTCGGTTCAAGCAGCTGCACCAAATGCAGCAGGAGCATTTCCAGCAGTTGCAGCAGTTCAAGGAGTGGCAGGAGCTGCAGCGGCAGGCGCGGAAAATACAGCGGCAGCTCCGGGAGGTGCGCTCGCTGCTCCAGACCTCCCGGCGGCTGGTGCGGATGCGTGTGGAGCTTCTGCAGGAGGCGCTCGACACCCGAGGAGACGCGTTGCTGGCGGAGTTCGAAGCCTCCATCCCAGACTTTGTGAGGCGCGCGGAGGAGCTGGCGAAGCAAGTGGACCCGCGCCGGCTGGTCGTGACCCTGGCCTGGCAGGTTCTCACCGCGGGGCCCATGAGCTGGGGCTGCGTGCTGTCCATGGTGGTGTTTTGCGCGCTGCTCGTCAAGAACCTGAGGGCCTCCGGTCGTCTGGGCGACTCGGAGGAGACTTGGCCCTTGACGGACGCGGTGGCCGCTGTGCTGTTGACCACATGCAAGACCTGGCTCATGGAACAGGGAGGCTGGGTGAGGGGTTACACACCGCCACCATCAACACCACAATTTCGCTGGAACAGCGTGTTGGTAATTACAAGCCCATGGTCTGCACAAAATCTAGCAGCCTCCTACCGTTGTTATTGAGTTGATCTGACCCATGTCCTCCAATCGCCACCAGTGTCTCACCACCCAGTGTCTCACTAGCAGTGTCTCACCACCCAGTGTCTCACTACCCAGTGTCTCACTAGCAGTGTCTCACTACCCATTGTCTCACCACCCAGTGTCTCACTACCCAGTGTCTGACCACCCAGTGTCTCACTACCCATTGTCTCACTACCCAGTGTCTCTGTACCAGTGACTCACTACCCGGTGTCTCACTACCCAGTGTCTCACTACCCAGTGTCTCTGTACCAGTGACTCACCACCAGTGTCTCATTACCCGGTGTCTCACTACCCAGTGTCTCACTAGCAGTGTCTCACTACCCAGTGTGTCACTACCCGGTGTCTCAGTGTCTCACTACCCAGTGTCTCTGTACCAGTGTCTCACTACCCAGTGTCTCTCTGCCCAGTGTCTCTGTACCAGTGACTCACCACCAGTGTCTCACTACCCGGTGTCTCACTACCCAGTGTCTCACTAGCAGTGTCTCACTACCCAGTGTCTCACTACCCGGTGTCTCAGTGTCTCACTACCCAGTGTCTCTGTACCAGTGTCTCACTACCCAGTGTCTCTCTACCCAGTGTCTCTCTACCCAGTGTCTCTGTACCAGTGACTCACCACCAGTGTCTCACTACCCGGTGTCTCACTACCCAGTGTCTCACTAGCAGTGTCTCACTACCCAGTGTCTCTGTACCAGTGACTCACCACCAGTGTCTCACTACCCAGTGTCTCACTACCCAGTGTCTCTGTACCAGTGACTCACCACCAGTGTCTCACTACCCGGTGTCGCTCTACCCAGTGTCTCACTACCCAGTGTCTCTGTACCAGTGTCTCACTACCCAGTGTCTCACTACCCAGTGTCTCACTACCCAGTGTCTCTGTATCAGTGACTCACCACCCAGTGTCTCTCTACCCAGTGACTCACCACCAGTATCAGATCAGAGAACAACGCCAAAAGGCGACCAGCACAAGGACAATGCCACGCATATCAGCAGAGCATTTACACCTCGGTGATGATGATGGTGGGGCTCTCTTTCCGTTCTGTTTCTCTGCTGCCACACAGGAGGGCTTCCTGCGAGCGTTCGGGCCGGGGACGCCCACCTAGGAGAGGAGCCGCAGACGCCGAGCTCCGACGGGCAGCGACAGTGAAGACGAGGAGAGAGAGACAGAGAGAGACAGAGAGCGAGACAGAGAGAGACTTTGACTTTTGAAAACTTTATTTCCCCAGCGCAAATTGCGCTGGAATATTGCTGTGCCTTGTAAGCCACTCGGAAGCAACCATTTCTGCAACCAGTGACAAATTAAATGCGTTCAGTCTCAGTGACAATCACCACAAAGCGAACAGCGGCGTCAGTCCCGCACGACTGGACAAGAAACGGGGGGGGGGGGGGGGGTGAGGGGGGGGTCAAAACGTGTAGATCAGTGCATTCTGCACAACTGTACACAGAGCGTCTTTGGCGCACCCCCATTTCTTCAAAAAGTCACTCTCCCCCTCGGCATGACCGTAATAGGCGAACTCTAACTCGAGCCGCGCCTTTATGAGGGCCTGCACCATCGCCAGCACTCCACAGCTACCGCTGCCGCCTTCCAGCCTCCGCTTCCGGGTCGTATAGATCGCCAGTTTGGCCTGGGCGCACACAAAGTTCGCGACGTGCCGCTTGTCGCCCCCCGTCCCGGTCACTCCGTACACAAAGCCGCTCTCGCAAAACGGGGTGCCCAGTCTCCCGAACACCCCCGCCAGGAAACTGAACAGCGGGGCGAGCCTCTTGCATTTGAGGAACTGGTGGGCCAGGTCCTCCCTCAGTCCGCAAAATGCGCACGTGTCCGGAGCTCCCGGCACGGCCCGGCTGACCCACACCGCCGACGGCACAGTCCAGTGCGCTACTCTCCATTGGAGGTCGCCACATCTTTTGGCAGTGGGGGGCCGGTACATATCACGCCACTGGGGGCCAGCGTCCGTCAGGGCAGAGAAATATCCCCTCCACTTCGTGTCTGGCAGCTCCTCCAAGTCCCGGAAGTGCAGCGCCTTTACGCAGGCGGTGTAGAGCTTTTTCTTGTGGACTTCCGCCAGCGAGACACTCCTGCTGTTCTCCATCTTTAATAATTTTCCTCCTCGCGATCAGAGGGGACGGCACAGGAGAAGGTCAGCTGGGGGAAGGAGGGTCCCTCCCTGTCGCCCGACTCTCCCAGCCCCACTCCGAGTCTCTTCATCGCCCGCAGGACTTCCCGCAACAGTTTGGTCCCGGCGAGCATGGAGTGCAGCCCGGCCGCTTCTGAGAGTTCCAGAGCCGTTCTCCACCTTCGCCGGCTAGGGTCCACCAGGTCGCTGACCCTGCTCACCCCTCCGGCAACAAACCGCGCGGCCAGGGTGCGTTCCCCCTTCAGGCCCTGGAAGAGGTCGTTAGCGAGTAGCGGCTCCCGCAGAAAAAGGCTCGCATCATAGTCCGCGGGCGCCCTCTCCCATTCAAGACTACGCCAAGCATCTAGCAGGCTGCGATAATACCTCGGCAGCGGCGACTGGTCTACCAGCCCCAGGTCCGTCAGGAAGAGCTCGCGGCCGTACCCAAGCCTTCCGGCCTGTCTCAGCAAGCCGAGGGCCAGGGCCTTCCAGGGCTGCTCCTCCGGCTCATACAGCAGGCGCCTTATGTCCAGGACCCTGAACGCCATCACCCTGCTGGCGACGCTCACTAGGCCCTGGCCTCCCTCCTCCACTGGCAAACAGAGGACCCCCGGCCTCTGCCAGTGCCTTCCGTGCCAGACGAAGGCGGTGAAAGCCCTCTGTACTTTCGTCAACAGCCAGTCTGGGGGGTGGAGGACTCTGGCCTTATGCCACAGCATGGCCGCCGCCAGGTTATTAACGACGAGGACCCGTCCCCTGTACGACATTTGCGGAGCGAAACGGGCCCACGCCTGCAACCTCCCTCCAATCTTCTCCGCCACATCCTCCCAATTCCTGGCCACAGTGGCCGGGTTACCCAGGTACACCCCCAGGTAATTGGTGCCCTCCGTGCCCCACTCCACCCCCCCTGGGAGCGTCACGGCGCGCATCGTCCCCCGCGGCCCCAGACACAGCGCCTCGCACTTTGGCCAGTTCACCTTTGCGGTGGAGGCGCTCTCGTAGAGGCCGACCGCCCTGTGCACCGCCGCCACGTCTCTCGCGTCGTTGACCACCGCGCACACGTCGTCCGCGTACGCCGAGACCTTTACCGCAGCATTTTCCGTCCCAGGGATAAGGAAGCCCGACAGGGTCCGGTTCAGCGTTAATAATAGCGGCTCGATGCAGAGCGCATAGAGCAGCCCCGAGAGTGGGCATCCCTGCCTAACACCCCTCGTAACGACCAGGGGGGCACGGAGCCGATTATTCAGCTTGAGGAGGCTGGACACATTTGTGTAGAGGAGCCTCACGTACGCAATAAATCCCTGGCCAAACCCAAAAGACCTTAGCACCGCATACATGTAGTCGTGGCTGACTCGGTCAAAAGCCTTCTCTTGATAGAGAAAAAGGAGGCCGGTGTCCAGTCCATGGGTGTCTGCCAGGTCGATCACGTCTCTGACCACCCCGATGTTATCATGGATAGACCGCCCCGGGATACAGCATGTCTGTTCCGGCTGGATGATCCTCCCCGCCGCGCCCTTCAACCGGTTAACCAACGCCTTTGCGACGATCTTATAGTCCGTGCATAACACGGACACCGGCCGCCAGTTCGCTGCGAGGCGCAAGTCCCCCTTCTTGGGCAACAGGGTAACCACTGCTCTCCTGCAACTCTGCGGCAACTCCCCTTTTGCTAGACTCGCATTCAGCACCTCGACCAGGGAAGGGCCGAGCTCACCCCAAAAAGCTTTGAAGAACTCGGCTGGGAGGCCATCGATCCCAGGCGCCTTCCCAGTAGCTAGGCCACTCACCGCAGCCTCCAGTTCCTGGAGGGTGATCAGCCCTTCCAGCTGTTCCATCTCGGGAGGGGTCAGTCTAGGCACACCCTCTAACAATTCCCCAAGAGCATCCCCCTGGATGCTTTCTGCAGTAAACAGATCCTGGTAAAAAGCCCTAACGACCCTAGCGATGCCCTCGTCGCTCGTGTGGACTTCACCACTCGGTGCCTGCAGGCTGGAAATAAGGTTTTTGGTGACTGGCTGCCTCTGTTGCCTGAAAAATGATTTGGTAGGCGCATCCATCTTTAGCAGATGTTGCATTCTCTGATTCGCAAAGGCCTTATAGGCTTCCCGGTCTGACACAGACCTCACCAGCCGTTGCTGCTCCAAGAGCGTGCGGTAATCCGCATTAGTTTGGGGTGAGCCCAGCTCTGCTTCCAGCGCCAGCAACTCATCCCGTAACCGCTCTTCCCATTCCCGCCTAGCTGCTGCGTGCTGGCTCATAAACCGCTGGCATAGTGACCCTATCTGTACCTTCCCATTATCCCACCATTGCTGGAGCGTGTCAAAGTTGCCCTTTTGTGTTAGCCACCCCTTCCAGAAGGCCCTGAAAGCTCTCTGGAAGTCCGCATTCTCTAAGAGTTGCAGGTTAAAACGCCAGTAGGGTCTGCGGTGCCCAAGAAGGGGGAGACGCAAGCGCACCGACACCAGGTGGTGGTCGGAAAAACCGGACGGGACCACCCTGCTTTCGCCGAGCAGGTTAGCACCGTCGGCATTCACGTAGAGTCATTCCAGCCGTGCGAGGCTAATCCGCCCTTGTGCACCACACCGGCACCACGTATATTGCCGCTGGGCCGGATGTTGCAGGTGCCACGTGTCGAGTAGGTTTAGCCTCCGTACTATGTCAGCCAATGCCTGCGCAGTCTCCGGGTGAGGCTCGGCGCCATTACGGTCGAGAGTCGGGTCGAGGGTGCAATTAAAATCACCCCCGACGATCGTGAGCACCTCGTCCGAGTCGGCTTCGTCCAGGGTGTCCCTCAGTGCGCCCGAGAAGAAGAGCCCCCTCTCGCGGCTCGCGCTCGGTGCGTACACGTTGACTACCCGCAGCCTGACGTCGCCGAGCACAAACTCGGCCGTAATCAGGTGTCCCTTCACGATCTCCCTAAAGGTCACATGGTCAGGAGTGAATTTTTTGCCGCACACAATCGCGACCCCCCCCGGTTGGCCTCCCCGTGGCTAAAGAAGAACCGGCCGCCCATGAGGTGTTGTCGTTGAGCCTGCAGCGTGGCATCGAGGTGTGTCTCCTGTAGGAGCGCCACTTCGACGTTTTGGTCGACAAGAAAACGACACATGCGTCTCCATTTCTCATCGCTTCGAGCACTATTGCAATTCAGACTCGCCACGCGGACGCCTGACGCCATTGCAATAGGGGGGGGGGGTGGGTGCCACCGGTGGTCACTGCGGAAGGGGGGTGCACCCCTTCCTCAGTTTTTGTACAAACTTCTGCAACCGGTAGCATTTCTGCTGGCTGAAGCCGCATTTATTGGGGTCCCGTTGTATATTTTGTGCGGTGTTCAGGAAGCCCATCACATCGGGGAAGCTCGCTTGGACGCTGACTCGACGCTTCCTGAAGGACGATTGGAGGAAGCTTTGGACGGTTTCGGGTACGTACTCCCGCTCCCCTCCTACTCCCGAAAAAAACATTTCACTGGCTCCTTCGTCGTCGACGTCGGACCCCGACTGCTCTTCGTCGTCAGAGTCCCCGTGTGTGTCGGCGCGTACTCCGGCCGTCACTTCCTCCGACGACCCGGGCGGAACCGGGGTCTCGCCAGGCTCGGGGTGCTCTCCTTCTGTGGCCTCCGCGGCCCCCTCCCCGTCGCACGTCGAGGCGGGTAGAACGTCGTCGTCCCCCTCGGGTGTGACCGCCATCTCTTCCATTGCGCTGCAAGGAGCCGGGGTCTCACCCTGCTCGGGGCGTGCCTCGTCCGCGGGATCCGTGGTCGTCGCCCCGCCGAGCGATGGGGCGGTCCCCTCGGGTGGCGCTGCGCCCTCAGGCGCGACAGGTGGCCCGCAGTCGCTCCTCTGCTCGTGCCGGTGCGGCCGCGGCTGGGTCCGGTGGTCGTCCCTCTGCCTCGGTCGCATCCGGCGGGTGGTTTTGGCCGCCGGCGGCGGCGGCGGCTGTGCTCACCGCGTTCTCCGCCGTGCCCTCACTGCCGCTCCCTGCCGCCCCTTCTGGGCAGCCGTCCGGCTCGGTGGTGCCGCCAGCGGTGCCCGCCCGCTTTGGAAAGGTGCCGTCGCACCCCCCCTCTGCTCGGCTGGCTTTGGCTTTTCGCTTTCATGACCTAACTAGCACGAAGCCATCTTTGTCGCCTTCAGGCGCCGGCTCTGCGCGGCCAGGCGCAGGGTCAGCGCGTTCCTGCTGCTGTTGCTGTTGCTGCTGTGGTTGTGGTTGTTGCTGCTGCTGCTGTTGCTGCTGCTGTTGTTGTTGCTGCTGCCGTTGTTGTGGTTGTTGCTGCTGCTGCTGCTGTTGTTGCTGCTGCTGCTGCCGCTGCTCAGCGTGCGCCGGCACGGGTGGAGCAACGTTCTCCTTGCCCTTGGTCGGGCAGCTCCTCCGGGTGTGGCCGACGCCGCCGCAGCCGAAGCAACGCTGTACAGCCGTGGAGGCGTATACGGTGTAAACGTGTCCCTCGATGGTATACTTCAGGGTCACGTTGAGTTCTGTATTGCCGTCCTTCAATATCATAAATGTCTGTCGCCGCAGCGACATTACATGTGCCATCCTCGTGTCCCTCGTCCGCAATGGCAACATGATGACGCGGGACACTACGGTGCCTAAGCGGAGGAGGTCCCGCTGCAGGTCCGCACATTTCAGGAATGGCGGCGCGCCGGAGAGGAGCACCTTCACGGCAGGCGAGGAGAGGGGGGTGCACTGTAAAAACAGCTCCCCCCCCACGTCCAGCTCCGTCTCTGCAAGGCGCGCCACCATGGCCTCCTCCGCCGTATAAAGGACGACCCCGTGATTTTCCCGTTCGCTAACGAGGATGCCCGCCATGCCAATGACCTCAGCCGCCGCCGCGACGACGGCCTCAACGGTGATCTCGGGCGGGGGGAACACCATCACGCCGTTCCTTCGCGAGAGGGTTTAAAGCTTGGGGTACTGTGCCATGATGCTTGGCGACAGCACCCTAGCGTGCAAAACGCGGCTGCACTACCCCAAATAAATTGGAGGGGAAAATAAATAAATGCACAAAAAATCATAAAGACCCACCTAAACCCACAAGACCCGTGAAACCAAGGAGGAACTCACTAGAAAGAAAGAGTGAGAAAAAAGAACAAAGGAAACCCACACGAGAGAAAGAGAGAGTGCTGCGAGTGAGTGAGTGAGACCAGGGAGAGAGACACAGAGAGAGAGCACACAGACACGGGGGGGGGGGGGGGCGCAGAGAGAGAGACACGGAGGGGGGAGAGAGACACAGAGAGATGGACACGGGGGAGGGACACACAGATAGAGACACGGAGAGGGAGAGAGACACAGAGAGAGACACAGAGATAGACACGGGGGGGGGGGGGGACACAGAGAGAGATACACGGAGGGGGGGAGAGACACAGAGAGAGAGACACACAGAGACAAACACCGAGAGGGACTCAGAAGGAGAGAGACAGAGAGAGAGACACAGAAAAACAGAGAGACACAGAAAGAGAGACACACCGAGAGAGAGGGGGGTGAGAGAGGCAGCCACAGCAGGCCCAAGGCTGCTCGTGGTGCCGTAGGGATGGAAGAAAAACACACAAAACAAATAAAACCAGCACCACGTGAAAGAAACGGAGAACTCACAGTGAAGGAAGAGAAGGATGTTGAACACGACGACTCAATAAACGAAAAAAAAAGCGGGGTAAAGCGTCTATAAACGCGTGGGCACTCTCTCAGCCTAGGCTCAGGCTATCACGTGAGCCCAGGCCTCCATCCACACCAACGTTGGAGCGGGAGCAACAGGTTCGTGCGGCCGCACCCAAACAGGTGGAGAGAGAGAGAGACGAGACACGGAGAGAACGCTTCACGAATTTGGGTGTCATCCTTGCGCAGGGGCCATGCTAATCTTCTCTGTATCGTTCCAATTTTAGTATATGTACGGCCGGATCAGAGAGAGAGAGAGAGACACGGAGAGAGAGACACGGAGAGAGAGACACGGAGAGAGAGAGACACGGAGAGAGAGACACTGAGAGAGAGACACGGAGAGAGAGACACGGAGAGAGAGACACGGAGAGAGAGACACGGAGAGAGAGAGGACACGGAGAGAGAGAGACTGAGAGAGACACGCGGAGAGAGACGGTGAGAGACACGGAGAGAGAGAAACACGGAGAGAGAGACACGGAGAGAGAGACACGGAGAGAGATACACGAAGAGTGAGAGATAGACAGCCATTGATTGAGTTTCACGGTTTTTTCCAAAAACATTTATTGGAAGAAGGCACCTAGGCACAGGTAAAACAGATAAAAATGTCACAGGTAAAACTGGTAAAGGAAGAAAAAATGGCACGAGTGATCAATTCTGGAGAGAAAGAAGGCACAATGAAACAGGTTCGGGGTTTGGGATGAATCAACTCTTTCATTCATATCTGTATACAACCGTCAGTACAGTACTTATAACTGTTAGCACACCACTTTTAACTGTTAGTAGAGTCCTGTTTCATCGTGAAATGTTTGTGTCCCGGTGTCCACGTGTGCCATTTGTTCCCGTGCCATGTTTACCAAATGTCGGCTACTTACACCCCTCGCCTCGGTGTCTCCGCACACGAGCATCGAAGCCGACAACTCTCGTCCAGCACGAGAGACCCTGGGCTCGACGCGAGCGCTGTTGCCAAATCGCTTCGAAGTCTCGTGCTCGGCCCAGACCACAACTGCGCCGTGTTCACGTTCCATTCCTTCTCCATGCCCACGCAGCGGAGGCCCCTCTGGCTATTGCCAGTTGCCCGCGGGTGGGCGAGGCGCAGCGCGTGCAAGATGTCACGCCTCTGTCCCGCTCATGTTCCAGTGTCTGTTCGGGAAATCGAACTCGGCTCTCCGGGTCCAGAACGCAAATGCGCTGAAACCGCGGCGCCACCGCTCCACCGGGCGAGCGTCAATGACGCCTGAACACTTGAAACAGGTTTCTGTGTAGAGCGGTCTCCATCGTGGAGAGGAGCGGTGGTACGGGTGCGGGTATCCATTTGCGACCCTGGTGCGGCCGGGTACGGGTACGGGTAAGGAATCAAAACCCGTTTGCGACCTCTGTCTCTCGTACGTCAACAGCCCGGACAGGTGAGAGCCTCAACAGGTGCACATCGAGCTGCCGATTGAAGGTGGATTGTGCTTGGCTATCAGAATTGTAATATTTATAAACACTGGCGGGATTCTACGAGCTGTCAAGCTCTCTCTTGGTAGCTCTCTGGGGCACGTCAGAAAGTTACAACAACAACAACAAAATCAAAACACGATTGGGCTCGCCGCTAAAACGAATCCATCATCAGGTGTGGTTTTCACCACACCTGGTGATGATTATTATTTTGATGATCGAACTTTCCCGGAGGAGCTGTAACAGTTAAAAACGATACGGACCAATGGCTCAACGTCGATTGTGAAGGCTCATGAAACACACGCGGGATCACGTGCGTGAGATATCGATGGCTTTGTGAACCCCCCCCCCACACAGCAGTCAGCGCACTGTGACCAGGGATCTGACCCGAGTCAGATCCCTGGTCACGGACAGCGTCAGTGGCGAGTGGTGTCCGAACAGGACCTGGGAATTCACCGTTTACCAACACGAACCGACCGGCACCTCCACCAGCCACCACCGCCTGATATCCATCGGCTCCGGTCCCCGCGGCACCGGCGCCGATGCCGCGGATCTCGGACGGATGCGGCACCAATCGCCGGCGGCAATCGAACACCGACGAGCCGCCCGCAACCTCCTCCCGTTCCGTTAGTTGGCGTCCACCGCCCGACACGTCCGGCTCGGAGCTGGCGCCTTCCCCGCCGGCGCCCGGCGCCGCCCCGGCAAGCGGAAGCGCTGCCGCACGAGCTCCACGCCCTCGCGCAGCCGGTGCCCCTTGGGCGACGACGACCGAGCTGCGTTCCTCGGGTGCCGTCGGTGGTCGGAGGAGGCGCTGTCGCCGTCGTCGCCGTGGCCGCCCCGCAGGTCCGCCGACTTGTGCAGGGAGCCGGCCCAGCTGCCGTGGCCGAGCTTGCAGATGCGCGCCTCCCGCTGCTGGTACCGGGGCCCGCCCAGCTCGCCCGGCCGCCAGCCCAGGGCGCCGGCCGTTGGCTCGGCCGCCGCGCTCCACCGGCCGGCGCCGCGCTGCGGGCGCAGGTCCGTGGAGACGGAGGTCAGGGCGCGGCGCCGGAACTCGTGGTGGACTGCTGCTGCTGCTGCTGCAGGTTTGGCGATTTCCCGCGACGATCGCCGGCGCCAGGATGGACGTGGGGGCCAGACGCTCTCCACCGCCGCTCGGCATCGTCACCGCCGTCATGGCCGTCGTCGTCATCGTCGTCGTGGTGGCGGCGCGAGGTGTCATAGTGAGCGATGGACGCGGGCCGCACCAGCGCGGGCAGCGCACCGCCGCCGCCGCCCACCGCCGAGCCCACCGCGCCGCCCGCCCCGCCGCCGACACCGTACGCCGTGGCCGCCGGGACGGGCACTGCTGGTTCATACCGCACGCTCAGGTTGGCGCGGGCAGCCTCCGCCTTCCTCTCGCGCCTCTGCAGCAGCGCGGCGATGTAGGCGGTCGCCTTGTCGGCGCCGAGTGGCGCCGCTACGGTCGCGGTCACCTCGTCGTCCGCGCCGGCGTCGTCGTGGCGACGGTGGCGGCGGGCGCCATCGCTCATCGGAGGAGGTTTTTCCGTCGGGCGACGCGGCGGCGTCGCGGTCGTCGCCGGCGCCTCGCCGGTGCAGGAATGCGGAGCTCTGCATGGCGACGGCGTGCAGCGGGCTCGGGTAGCGGTACACCTTCGGAGCTGTCCCGCGAGCGCAGGTCGCAGTGGAAATGCGGGTCGGGGTCACGACCCGGGCGGAGGTCACGAGGTCGGCGAGCCCGACCGGGGACGTCCGCGCGTCTGAGCCGCCGCCGAGGTCGTCTGCGGAACGAGAGGAAGGAAGATGAGATGCGGAACGCGGACGAGGTGGAGCCGCGCCGGTTGTCTGTGCGGTGGTGGTGGCGGCGAGATGATCACGAGCCACTTCTGAGACCACTTCAAGTGGTCTCCGGTCCGAAGGATCGAAGAACTCACACGACAACTGAGGCCTACGTGGCCGGCTTTCGGTGGTCGAGAGCCCCAGGGCTTGAGAAGGCGACGGTGATTACGTCAATAAACAATAAACATTCAGCATCTTCAGTGATGGTGGACTGGGACTAACATCGGCCCGGCCATATCGTAAACACACCGGCCAATTCGGGATACGGGCAGTTATTTAAGTTTATGATAATATTTTTTTACCCTTTTATCTGGCAACAAAACTGACACCTTTTTCACAAGGAGTCATGTTGCATAGACAACAATACCTGCAGTCGTAATGCAAACAAAAACATAACTCTGATAATGTATGCACTGTACCTTTATCTGACAAGTTTTGTTGCCACATAAAAGGGTAAAAAAACAATTATCATATTTTTCTACTGGCAAATGAGGTCCCAATGGCATTTAAGTTGAGTTCAATAGTCTGTGTGACAAACTGTGCGGCACTCGTAGCTCGCCGTTGTGATGTGGCGACGCGCAATCTAGTTGGCCCATCGTGAGCTGGATCCAAAAAACACCAAACTGGCCAGTGAGGAAAAATCTTTGGGGCTGCCGAACATACGGGAGGCGTCATGGCGACTGAGAGCGCAAAACAGCAACGAAGGGCACACATCTTCTTGGTTCTTTCGGTAAAGTCACGTAGAAGGAAGTAATAAATAATAAAAATAAAACATAATAAAATAATTCTCACGACGTTTCGGCCACAACGCACAGTATCAGTCCTCAGGTGAAGACCAGGTCTGTTCGAGAAGACAGAGTCTGTTTCTTCACCTGAGGACGGCTGCTTGCATTGTGGCCGAAACGTCGTGAGAATTAGTTTTATTATGTTTTATTTTTATATTTTAGTATTTCCTTCTACGTGACTTTACCGAGAGAACCAAGAAGATGATCCCTGCAGTCACGAAGAAGCTTTAAATCGAAAAACGCAGGGCACACAGACGCTCAGCTCAGCCCACGTCAACGTCCCCGCGCTCGGCGCTCACACGGACTTGTCTCTGCTGCTGTGCATTGCAGCTCGCTCAGAGGCCGCTCCACAGCCAACTCGCTTGCCCACTCCACACTGCGGGGAGGCGGTAACGCGGCACAACAACTCATACACACGCGCGCACACACGTAAAACAGGCGCACGACACGCGCACCGACGGATGGACGACGGACGGCCACACGCACGACGGCCCCCCCCCCCCGGTACAAACGCAGACACGGACGGGCGGGCGGACGAGGCTGCTGGGTAATTCCATACCTGGTGGTGGTGCAGCTAAACGAGAAGTGAGGTCAAGTTTTGAAACTTTTCTGTACCAAGCGCTGTTTTGCCAGCAAACACAACCAATAAATCCCCACCCCCCCCCCGTGTAGCCCTGTCGGGTGCATGTGCTGTTGGCGGAGTAAGCACCTAGAAAGGCCCGACACGGCACACGAGGGGGTGGCCAGCGCCACGACCGCCGGCCCCTTGTGTCTCCGAGACCGAGGTTAAACACAGCCCCAACAGGTACCCATTTAAGGCTGAGTCGACCTAGGGAGGCCCAGGAGACCACCGCTCCGGCGAGGAGGAAATCACGAAAGCCTCTCACCCCCGCGTGGAGCGTCAGGCCCCGTTGCATTGGAATAGCGTAGCAGCCGCCATTTCTTCCATCATTAATGTAATAAGATGCAAGTTAATTCATTGCTTTTTCATTTATTTGATTTCGATTTAAAGCTTTCGTGACTGCAGGATTCATATTCTTGGTTCTTTCGGTAAAGTCACGTAGAAGGGAAATCATCACCTAATGATGATTGCTTGTGTTGCAGTCGAAACGTCGTGAGAATTTTTATTGTTTTATATTTATATTATTTATTTTTTCCCTTCTACGTGACTTTACCGAAAGAACCAAGAATATTATTTTACTTAATTTAACATTTTTATTTGTTTACCAGGTAAGCCTCTTTGACAGAAACGACCTGGCCACAACTGATAGCTCGACGCAGTCGCCTCTCCATCACGTGCAAATGTAGCGGCGAGGCAAATCCGCTAAAGGCGTGCTCCTAAATGTGGAGGGAAAAAAACAGAGGACGCGGAGATAAATCCACGCGACCACGTAAACTCCAAATACGCAGCATATATTTACGCAATCTAACCCCCCAAAAAAACCTGTATTATGGATGATATTGGGTCGCGAAAGCCTGCCACGTGTTAAAGCCGACTTAGCCGGTGGTTCCGTTTAATTTCATCACTGTCCGCACTTCCGATGAACACGGTGGCCACGTAGGTTGCTAACGAACGATACAACCGCAAATAGTCCCACCGTGGCCATAAATACACACGGAGATGTCTTCAAGAGAAGCCACAGCGTTGAGGTTGTAGCCACGCGACCCAAGCTACGGACCGCAGAGTGAACCCACAGAGACACACGGTGGCAGGCAGAGTCTCGTATACAGAGGATGCACAAGACTCGTCGAGGATAAATACACACGAGATGTCTTCAAGAGAAAGCACAGCGTTGAGGTTGTAGCCACGCGACCCAGCTACGGACCGCAGAGGTGAACCCACAGAGACACACGGTGGCAGGCAGAGGTCTCGTATACAGAGATGCACAGAGACTCGTCGAGATAAATACACACGGAGATGTCTTCAAGAGAAGCCACAGCGTTGAGGTTGTAGCCACGCGACCCAAGCTACGGACCGCAGAGTAACCCACAGAGACACACGGTGGCAGGCAGAGTCTCGTATACAGAGATGCACAGAGACTCGTCGAGATAAATACACACGGAGATGTCTTCAAGAGAAGCCACAGCGTTGAGGTTGTAGCCACGCGACCCAAGCTACGGACCGCAGAGTGAACCCACAGAGACACACGGTGGCAGGCAGAGTCTCGTATACAGAGATGCACAGAGACTCGTCGAGATAAATACACACGGAGATGTCTTCAAGAGAAGCCACAGCGTTGAGGTTGTAGCCACGCGACCCAAGCTACGGACCGCAGAGTGAACCCACAGAGACACACGGTGGCAGGCAGAGTCTCGTATACAGAGATGCACAGAGACTCGTCGAGATAAATACACACGGAGATGTCTTCAAGAGAAGCCACAGCGTTGAGGTTGTAGCCACGCGACCCAAGCTACGGACCGCAGAGTGAACCCACAAGACACACGGTGGCAGGCAGAGTCTCGTATACAGAGATGCACAGAGACTCGTCGAGATAAATACACACGGAGATGTCTTCAAGAGAAGCCACAGCGTTGAGGTTGTAGCCACGCGACCCAAGCTATGGACCGCAGAGTGAACCCACAGAGACACACGGTGGCAGGCAGAGTCTCGTATACAGAGATGCACAGAGACTCGTCGAGATAAATACACACGGAGATGTCTTCAAGAGAAGCCACAGCGTTGAGGTTGTAGCCACGCGACCCAAGCTACGGACCGCAGAGTTAACCCACAGAGACACACGGTGGCAGGCAGAGTCTCGTATACAGAGATGCACAGAGACTCGTCGAGATAAATACACACGGAGATGTCTTCAAGAGAAGCCACAGCGTTGAGGTTGTAGCCACGCGACCCAAGCTACGGACCGCAGAGTGAACCCACAGAAACACACGGTGGCAGGCAGAGTCTCGTATACAGAGATGCACAGAGACTCGTCGAGATAAATACACACGGAGATGTCTTCAAGAGAAGCCACGCGTTGAGGTTGTAGCCACGCGACCCAAGCTACGGACCGCAGAGTTAACCCACAGAGACACGGTGGCAGGCAGAGTCTCGTATACAGAGATGCACAGAGACTCGTCGAGATAAATACACACGGAGATGTCTTCAAGAGAAGCCACAGCGTTGAGGTTGTAGCCACGCGACCCAAGCTACGGACCGCAGAGTGAACCCACAGAGACACACGGTGGCAGGCAGAGTCTCGTATACAGAGATGCACAGAGACTCGTCGAGATAAATACACACGGAGATGTCTTCAAGAGAAGCCACAGCGTTGAGGTTGTAGCCACGCGACCCAAGCTACGGACCGCAGAGTGAACCCGCTGCGTTCCTTCAACGGAGGAGGTGGAAACAGCGACACGACACGAACTTTCTCTTCTCTCTCTGCTGAAGCCCTTTCGTCGTGTCCAGCAGCAGACATTGGTTGGCATCGAGCGCAACACGCGCGCACGCTCGCGTCAATGCCATATGCGTGCCCCTCTCTCTCCTCTCACACTCGCCCCTGTAGGAGCCCGGCCTTCCTTCCAAACACGACCTTCCTACACGACCTTCCAAGGGAGAGCGGTGGCGCAGCGGTTGGCGCAACTGCGCTGTACGAATCCGCTCACCCGAGTTGGGATTCCTGGCCCGCAGACGTCATCTGAACTGGTAGAGTGCGCTAAGCACTGCGCCACCACTCCCATTGTATCCTCTGCACAAACATGACAACAACTCTGCAAGAGACTAAGATCCCCCGTCTAGCCTTAACAGACTGTAGGTTGCTGTTAGCGAGCACCTATGAAGGCCAGAACGGCACACGAGGTGGTGGGTGGCCAGCACCACGCCCGGCGCCTTTGTATCCCCAGTGCGATGTTTCACACACCGCACCATGTACTCATTTGAGGCTGAGTCGACCTAGGTGAGCCCAGGGCCGGTTCTGATAATCGTCACCGGTGTTGGCCGTGAGCGCCAGGTTCATAGTGCAGCCACACGACACGACACGCAACACACGATACGCAACACCACAGACACGACACGCAACACGCAACACCGCACACACGATACACAACACGCAACACCGCACACACGACACGCAACACCGCACACACACGACACGCAACACCACAGACACGACACGCAACACCGCACACACACGTCACGCAACACCACACACACGATACACACACCACACACACGACACGCAACACCGCACACACACGTCACACAACACCGCACACACACGACACGCCACACAACACCATAGACACGACACGCAACACCGCACACACACGTCACGCAACACCGCACACACACGTCACACAACACCGCACACACACACGCCACACAACACCATAGACACGCCACGCAACACCGCACACACGTCACGCAACACCGCACACACACGTCACGCAACACCGCACACACACGACACGCAACACCGCACACACACGTCACGCAACACCGCACACACACGTCACGCAACACCGCACACACGTCACACAACACCGCACACACGTCACGCAACACCGCACACACGTCACACAACACCGCACACACGTCACGCAACACCGCACACACGTCACGCAACACCGCACACACGTCACGCAACACCGCACACACACGTCACGCAACACCGCACACACGACACACAACACCGCACACACGTCACGCAACACCGCACACACACGCACGCACACGCACACCGCAACACGTCACGCAACACCGCACACGACAACCAACACCGCACACACGTCACGCAACACCGCACACACGTCACGCAACACCGCACACACGACACGCAACACGCACACACGTCACGCAACACCGCACACACGACACACACACACCGCACACACGTCACGCAACACCGCACACACGACACACACACCGCACACACGTCACGCAACACCGCACACACGACACGCAACACCACACACACGTCACGCAACACCGCACACACGTCACGCAACACCGCACACACGACACACAAAACCGCACACGTCACGCAACACCGCACACGACACACAAAACCGCACACACGTCCACAACACCGCACACACGACACACAAAACCGCACACACGTCACGCAACACCGCACACACGACACGCAACACCGCACACACACGTCACGCAACACCGCACACACGACACGCAACACCGCACACACGTCACGCAACACCGCACACACGTCACACAACACCGCACACACGACACACAACACCGCACACACGTCACGCAACACCGCACACACGACACGCAACACCGCACACACACGTCACGCAACACCGCACACACGACACGCAACACCGCACACACACGTCACGCAACACCGCACACACGACACGCAACATCGCACACACACGTCACACAACACCGCACACACGACACGCAACACCGCACACACACGTCACGCAACACCGCACACACGACACGCAACACCGCACACACGTCACGCAACACCGCACACACGTCACACAACACCACACACACGTCACGCAACACCGCACACACGTCACGCAACACCGCACACACGTCACGCAACACCGCACACACACGACACGCAACACCGCACACACGACACGCAACACCGCACACACGTCACACAACACCACACACACGTCACGCAACACCGCACACACGTCACACAACACCACACACACGTCACGCAACACCGCACACACGTCACACAACACCGCACACACACGTCACGCAACACCGCACACACGACACACAACACCGCACACACGTCACGCAACACCGCACACACACGTCACGCAACACCGCACACACACGTCACACAACACCGCACACACGACACACAACACCGCACACACGTCACGCAACACCGCACACACACACCAACAACACCGCACACACACGTCACGCAACACCGCACACACGACACGCAACACCGCACACACGTCACGCAACACCGCACACACGTCACACAACACCACACACACGTCACGCAACACCGCACACACGTCACACAACACCGCACACACACGTCACGCAACACCGCACACACACGTCACGCAACACCGCACACACACGACACGCAACACCGCACACACGACACGCAACACCGCACACACGTCACACACCACCACACACGTCACGCAACACCGCACACACGTCACGCAACACCGCACACACACGTCACGCAACACCGCACACACGTCACACAGCACCGCACACACACGTCACGCAACACCGCACACACACGTCACACAACACCGCACACACGACACGCAACACCGCACACACACGTCACGCAACACCGCACACACGTCACGCAACACCGCACACACGACACGCAACACCACACACACACACACACCACACACACGACACGCAACACCGCACACAACACCACACACACACACACACACCACACACACACACACACCACACACACGACACGCAACACCGCACACACCACGCAACACCACACACACGACACACAACACCACACACGACACACAACACCCACACACGACACACAACACCGCACACACGACACGCAACACCGCCACACGTCACGCAACACCGCACACACACGCAACACCGCACACACGTCACACAACACACACACGACACACAACACCGCACACACGTCACGCAACACCGCACACACGACACACAACACCGCACACCACGTCACGCAACACCGCACACACGACACGCAACACCGCACACACACGTCACGCAACACCGCACACACGACACGTAACACCGCACACACACGTCACGCAACACCCACACACGACACGCAACACGCACACACGTCACGCAACACCGCACACACGTCACACAACACCACACACACGTCACGCAACACCGCACACACGTCACGCAACACCGCACACACACGTCACGCAACACCGCACACACACGACACGCAACACCGCACACACGACACGCAACACAACACGCACACACGCACACAACACCACACACACGTCACGCAACACCGCACACACGTCACACACCCACACACTCACACAACACCGCACACACGTCACACAACACCGCACACACACGTCACGCAACACCGCACACACGACAACAACACCGCACACACGTCACGCAACACCGCACACACACAACACGCAACACCGCACACACGTCACGACACGCAACACCGCACACACGTCACGACACACAACACCACACACACGACACGCACACACCGCACACACCGTCACACAACACCACACACACGACACGCAACACCGCACACACGACACGCAACACCGCACACACCACACACGACACGCAACACCACACACACGACCCAACACCGCACACACCACACACGACACGCAACACCGCACACACGACACGCAACACCGCACACACCACACACGACACGCAACACCGCACACACGACACGCAACACCGCACCACCACCACGACACGCAACACCGCACACACGACACGCAACACCGCACACACCACACACGAACACACACCACACACACACGCAACACCGCACACACCACACACGACACGCAACACCGCACACACGACACGCAACACCGCACACACCACACACGACACAACACCACACTCGACACCAACACCGCACACACGACACGCAACACCGCACACACCACACACGACACGCAACACCACACAACGACACGCAACACCGCACACACCACACACGACACGCAACACCGCACACACGACACGCAACACCGCACACACCACACACACACACAACACCACACTCGACATCACACGCAACACCGCACACACGACACACGCACACCGCACACACACGTCACACACACCGCACACACACACACAACACCGCACACACACACACACACCGCACACACTCACGACACCGCACACACACGTCACGACACGCGTGCGCGCACGGCTCTCTCTCACTCTTTCTTCCCGACTCGCTCGCTCCACTCACTCACCGGCTGATCCTCCTCCGGATCATCATCCGCCTTCCCGTCCGACCGTCTGGGCCCCGGCCATAGCACCGCCGCTGCTGCTGCTGTTGCTGCTGCTGTTGCTGCTGTTGCTGCTGCTGCTGTTGCTGCCGATGTTGCTGCAGCAGCTGCTGTTGCTGTTGCTGTGCTGCTGTGCTGTTGCTGTTGCTGCTGTGCTGCTGTTGCTGCCGCTGTTGTTGCTGCCGCTGTTGCTGCTGCCGCTGTTGCTGCAGCCGCTGTTGCTGCTGCTGCTGCGGGGGCGGTGGTGTCAGGGCGAGCGCCTGTCGCACCGTCGCCTCGTGCTGCTCCCGCAGGAGCCGCAGTTCCCGCAGAGCCGCGACGCTCAACTCCAGCCGCTCGCGAATTCTCTCCGGCGGAGCGGACCGCAGAGTGCCTTGGACATGGTGGTGGTGTGGTGATGGTGGTGTGGTGATGGTGGTGGTGGTGATGGTGGTGATGGTGGGGAATGGTGGGGTGATGGTGGTGATGGTGGTGGTGATGGTGGTGGTGGTGATGGTGGTGATGGTGGTGGTGATGTTGGTGGTGGTGGAGGTGGTAGTAGTAGAGGTGGTGTGGTGGTGATGGTGGTGATGGTGGTGATGATGGTGGTGGTGATGGTGGTGATGGTGGTGTGTGGTGGAGGTGGTGGTGGTGATGGTGGTGATGGGGTGGTGATGGTGGTGGAGGTGGTGGTGGTAATGGTGGTGGTGGTGGTGATGGTGATGACGGTGGTGGTGGAGGTTGGTAGTAGTAGAGTGGTGGTGGTGGTGATGGTGGAGGTTGTGGGTTATGTTGTGATGGTGGTGGTGATGATGATGGTGATGGTGGTAGTGATGATGATGATGTGGTGGTGATGGTGGTGGTGGTGATGCTGCTAATATCGATGAATGTCCGTTACACAACGCGCACTGGAGGAGCAGCAGGAGAGGGGAGGGAAGATCCACCGACTCCCGACAGAGCCACTGCTGCTGCTGTAGTAGTAGTTGTTGTAGTAGTAGCTGTAGTAGCTGTAGTAGCTGTAGTAGTAGCTGTAGTAGCTGTAGTTGTAGTAGCTGTAGGTGTAGTAGCTGTAGCTGTAGTTGTAGTAGCTGTAGTAGCTGTAGCTGTAGTAGTAGTATTGTACGTGACGCGGTGTCGTGGTGGGGTGAGTGGGTCAGGCTCAGGGGGGTTGTTGGGAGGTGCTGAGGGCTGGTGGGTGGGGGTCAGCCAGCCGGTCACTGGCGTCACCCCCCCCCTTCCTGGTGAACATCGCTCATTGGGCAGCAGCTGCCCCCTCCGTCCCTCCCCATTGGCAGACGCCTCCCCCCCCTTGCCTCGCCCTTCCACCTCCCTCCCCCTCCCACCTCCCCCTCCCCTCCCCCTTCCACACCCCCTCCCTCCCACCGCCCCTCCCACCTCCCCCTCCCTCCCCCTTCCACCTCCTCCTCCCTCCCACCGCCCCCTCCCTCCCACCTCCCCCTCCCTCCTCCCTCCACCGCCCCCTCCCTCCCACCTCCCCCTCCCTCCTCCCTCCCACCGCCCCCTCCCTCCCACCTCCCCCTCCCACCTCCCACCCCACCTCCCTCTCCCTTCCTCCTCCCCCTCCCTCCCCTCACAACCCCCCCCTACCTCCCCTCCCACCTCCCCCTCCTCCCCACACCTCCCCCTCCCACCTCCCCCTCCCTCCCCCACCTCCCCCTCCCTCCCCCACCCCCCCTCACACCCCCCCTACCTCCCCCTCCCACCTCCCTCCCCCTTTCACCTCCCCCTCACACCTCCCCCCCTCCCGTACTCCCTCCCCCTCCCACCTGTGTGTACACACCACACGTGTGTGTGAGTCTATGTGTGTGGTGTGAGTCCATAGTGTGTGTAACTCCAAGTATGTGTCTAAAGTCGATGTCTGTCTGTGTGAGTCAATGTATGTGTTCTAAAGTCGATGTCTGTGTGAGTCCATGTATGTGTGTCTAAAGTCGATGTCTGTCTGTGTGAGTCCATGTATGTGTGTCTAAAGTCGATGTCTTTGTGCGTGTGGGTCAATGTTTGTGTGTAAGTCCATGTGTGTGTCTGCACATGAAACAGGAGTTGTGTTGAGATGTTAAAACACAAAACAGAAACCTTTCGCAAGGAATCATGTCACTGAATTAGCCACACGAGGTGCTACTACTGTACGTGTTACATTTTATTTTGGTCTTTCGCTAAGAGTCACCTAGATAGGTTAAACATTAATATGTGTACACCTCCCACCACCCCTGTACCCCCCTACCCCTCCTGCACCCCTCATCCCAGTGGATAGAGTCTACCCTACGCGATATTGACTCTAGACGTGAGTATTGAGAAAGACATCCAAGGAATGTGCTTAAATAAACAACTTAGAGGCCACAATCGATTCTTGGCCAGAGCCTAAGCCACCACCCCTTGCTAATAAGTGACGTGTCGAGTCAACAGCCCACTGAGTCAACACTAAGGACACTGAGTCCTCAACACAGACGCGGGCGGGGTGGGTGGGTTGGAGAGCAGAGACCTCCACTCTCGGTCAAGTCGCGTGCTGACTCGCATCTTGCAGGGCTGCTGCTGCTGCTACTGCTGCACCATTGCTGCTGCTGCTGTGCTGTTGCTGGTACCTCTATCATCCAAGCCTCTCATCATCACCTGCTCCTGTGTGGGTGAGTGGGTGGATGAGTGTGTGGGTGGGTGAGTAGGTGAGTGGATGAGTGGGTGGGTGGGTGGGTGAGTGGGTGGGTGAGTGAGTGGTGGATGAGTGTGTGGGTGAGTGTGTGAGCGACTGGGTGAGTGAGTGAGCGACTGGGTGAGTGAGTGGGTGAGGGGGTGGGTGGGTGGATGAATGGGTGTGTGAGTGGGTAGGTGAGTGTGTGGGTGAGTGTGTGAGCGACTGGGTGGGTTAGTGTGTGAGCGACTGGGTGAGTGAGTGAGCGAGCGACTTGGTGAGTGAGTGGGTGGGTGAGTGGGCGGGTGAGTGGATGATGTGTGGGTGAGTGTGTGAGTGGGTGGATGAGTGAATGAGTGGGTGAGTGAGTGACTGGGTGAGTGGGTGAGTGAGTGTGTGAGTGGTTGGGTGAGTGGGTGGGTGAGCGACTGGGTGAGTGAGTGGTGTTTGAGTGGATGAGTGGGTGGTGAGTGATGTGTGTGGGGTGAGTGTGTGAGCGACTGGGTGAGTGAGTGGGTGGGTGAGTGTGTGAGTGGGTGTGAGTGTGTGGGTTAGTGTGTGAGCGACTGGGCGAGTGAGTGATGAGCGATTGGGTCAGTGAGTGTGAGTGTGTAGGTGGTGTGTGAGTGAGTGGTGTGTGGTGGGTGGGTGAGTGAGTGTGTGGGTGTAGGTGGTGGGTGAGTGGGTAGATGAGTGTGTGTGTGAGTGAGCGAGCGACTGTGATGAGTGAGTGAGTGGGTGTGTGAGTTGGTGGGTGATTGAGTGGGTGTGTGCGTGGGTGTGTGAGTGGGTGGGTGAGCGACTGGGTGAGTGAGTGGGTGTGTGAGTGAGTGAGTGGGTGAGTGGGTGGGTAATATATAATAATAATAGTACAATTTGTAACGCGCGCAAATTTGCAGACGTAGTGGCCGCAACTCAGAGGCGCGGAGCCAAGCTCAGAGTCACTCAAAAGCACGTGGTTGTAGAGGTGAGTTTTTAAGTGTCTCTTGAAGGAGGCGATTGAGGTGATGCTGCGAATGTGCAGAGGGATATCGTTCCAGACTGTTGGGGCTGCCACCGAGAAGGGCGCGTAGACACGATGACCATCCTGGATCTTGGTATCGAGAGGAGGTCGTGAGTCGCGCTGCGCAGGCATCTGCCGTGTGCTGAGCTGCAAGTTGTCAGTAATGAAGAAAGATACGGCAGGCAGGCGGATATGAAGGCGTTGTGGCAGAGGCAGGCGGTCTTGTATGTGACCCTGCTGGCGATGGGGAGCCAGTTGAGAGCGCGGAGACGAGCTAGTGAGTCGAGACGGGGAAGAGTGTGGGCAATGACGACGCGTGCTAGGTTATTTTGTAGTCTTTGAAGTTTCTTAGGTTGCCAGCGGAGGTCCGGACTAGGACGGAGTTGCAATAGTCAAGGCGAGACCCAACTATGCAACATGCCAAAGTGTTGGCAATTTCAGTAGAGATGAGAGGACGTATGTGTCTAAGAGCCTTCAGGTGAAAGTTACATGAGCTGATGATATGGTTGGTTTGACGGTCGAAGGATAAAGTTGAATCGAGGATGATACCGAGGTACCTGAAGTGGTCGGTGAACTTGTTGATGTGACCGAAGATGTGTATGTGTGTGGGGAGTGCTGCTGAATTGAGACGTTGCTTGTGTAGTGACATAAGAAGGGAGGGGCTGCTGGGGGCTCTGGGATCCCAGGCAAGTCCAGACGCTTAAGCCTCTGGGTGCCAGGCACTGGGTTCCCAGAGGGTCCAGACTATTAAGCCTCTGGGCGCCAGGCGTTGGGTTCCCAGGCGCTTAAGCCTTTTTGGCGCCGCCAACGGGGGGGGGGGGGGGGCTGTGTGTGCTCTGTGGGATGTCTGGTGGCGCACACGGCCCCACCCCTCGTTAGACAGGCATAAAAGGAGAGCTCCCTGGACGATCAGGGCCCAGTTGTAACTCAAGACCCAAGACCCACGACCAGCCATCTGAAGACCCTGGGATGCTGTGAGAGCCAGCGGGGACTCTGGAACTCCCGACTCTACGACCTTGTGAGGGCGAGTTGCAGAGCGTAGCCAGAGTAGAGTATCTAGGCTGTGTAGCTAGGCTAGTAACAGAGTATCAGGACTGTTGGAGAGTTGGACTGTTGGAGTGTTGTATTGTAATAAAGAAGTTACCTCTACAAGTGTCTCCGGAACCCGTTACACTTGGTACCTAACATGATGGCCACTGACTTTTTCGGATTAAGGGCTAGGTTGTGTGCAGTGAACCATTGTTGCATGGCGGTGGTACATTCCGAGAGCCTCTCGAATCCAGATGCATTGCTAGAATCGATGGCGGTGAATATAATCGTGTCATCCGCGTATGAGTGATGCTTAACACCGAAGCTTGCAATGAGCCGGCCGATCGGGGAAGTGTAGGCTGTGAAGAGCAGGGAACCTAGTACAGAGCCTTGGGGAACCCCCCATTTTGAGGGTGTGGAGTTTATCCTGTTATGTACGAAACTTGGGAACCCTAGCTACATACAATGTCTGCTGCCAGTTTTATAGGGCTGAACATTGAAAATGTCTAAGTGTACAATTATTGCGATTACCATGTCTCTATAGTCGTGGTTGAAGAGACATTGTAATGTTTTTAAACTATTTTATCTTTTCCTGTAATTTCTTGAAATTCTCTTTTGGCGGGTTAAGTAAAAACATGCCTTACAATGGCTGCCCATAAAAAAATTGTTTTAATGCATTTGTTTTCTGCCTATTTGTTTTAGTGGCCAGGTACTGGGCCGATTCTGCTGCGAGACCCGAGTGTGTGCTTCGCCGGGGAGAGATGTAAAAATGTAGGTGAAGAATGAAATAAAAATTAATAAAAATAAAATAATAAAAATCACGACGTTTCGGAAGCAACACAAGCTTCCGTCTTCAGGTGAAACTGTCCAGCCAAATATCTGTATCACTTGAAGACGGAAGCTTGTGTTGCTTCCGAAACGTCGTGATTTTTATTTTATTTTAATTTCATTTTTTACCTACGTGACTTTACCGAAAAAAACTAAGAGTATGATTCCTTGCAGTCGTGAAAGCTTCAAATCTCGAAGATATCAAAATGGACGAGCGGTGCATGCATCATGACGATGAGGAGCTGCAGCAGCAGCAGTCTCCAAACAATTGGAAGGCTCCTTCACTCACCATGCAGAATGCAGCTCAGTCTGTGCAGCAGTATCCTCCTGCCTTGGCAGAGGCAGCAACCCAGACTTGTCAGTCTCCACAGGCTCAGCCAGTTGAGCACACCCCACAAGTGCCTAAGGTGTCTTCTGGCAGCAGTCAGCGACCGAGTGGAGAGGCGGCTTCTGATACGAACTCCCAAGGTGATCACTTTGACTGCCCCTTGTTCACACACACGTGCTGTCTAGCTATTAAGACACATTTGAGGTTTTTGTAAATTATATAATTTCACTAATAGGGGTTTTCCCCTTTTTTCTGGCAACAAAACTGACACCTTTTGCAAGGAATAATGCTTACATTAACCACAATACTTGCAGTCAAATGCAAACAAAAAACTACTCTGATAATTTATGCATTGTTTTTGAAACTGATTGGTCCACACCAGAGACAGCTTTCTTTAGAGCCTCGTCTCATATGGTTTTCGACCAGATGACGCCAAGTATTGTGGTTAATGTAAGTATGATTCCTTGCAAAAGGTGTCAGTTTTGTTGCCAGAAAAAAGGTGAAAACCCCTATATTTTAGTATATTTTGGTACTGGCAAAGGAGGTCCCATGATGACGCCTTTTGGCGTCATCTGGTCGAACACCATATGAGACTAGGCTCTAAAGAAAGCTGTCTCTGGTGTGGACCAATCAGTTTCAAAGACAATGCATAAATTATCAGAGTATTGTTTTTTGTTTGCATTTGACTGCAAGTATTGTGGTTAATGTAAGTATGATTCCTTGCAAAAGGTATCAGTTTTGTTGCCAGAAAAAAGGTGAAAACCCCTATTAGTATATTTTGCTACTGGCAAAGGAGGTCCCATGATGACATAATTTCAATGTATTATTCTGAAAGAAATTGTCCCTGCGTGTACTCGCCTTACCTGTCCGCTTTTTGCCACTTAACCAAATCCTCAGGCTGCGTGAAAGTGGTGCACGACATGCTGATGACTTCAAGCAACTGTGGCAGCAATTGGCCATCCGACCAAGAAGACATATTTCACCTCCTGGTAGTTACCTGCTTTCGTTTAAATTCCTCGTTTTCCGTACTCATTGACATGTTAATGTTGTCTCTAACCTCCCTCTCTCTGCCACCGCCCCCTCTGCCTATTTAAGGCCACTCCACAGAGACGATCTCCCTCTCTGTACCTGTGTTTCTCTCTGTGTATCTTGGTGATATCTGTCTGCTCATATGTCTGTCTATAGTTTTTGGTTAGAATTTTTTGTTGCTATTTCATTTATACCTGATGATGATTGCTTGTGTTGCAATAGAAACGTCGTGATTTTTATTTTATTTTACTTTTATTAATTTTAATTTTTTACTACGTGACTTTACCGAAAAAACCTAAGAATATGAATCCTTGCAGTCACGAAAGCTTCAAATCTAGAATTCACAATAAGCATTTGATGTTTTAAAGAATTTGCTCTGCGGTCTGTATGATGTGTAGGTGCACGGGAGAGAACATTTTGAAATATTAAAAATCAAGGAAAGCCTGGAGCTGGTCCGAATGCTGCCCAAGGATGTTGTGAGTGTTGCGCAACCTGCAGCAACAACGGTACGTGAACACGAAATAGACAATCGCTGCTCGTGCGAGACAAGTTCCCGATTGCTGCTGTAATTAAATGGTAGCAACAGAAGGGAAGTAATAAAATGATAAAAAGAAAAATAATAAAATAATTCTCACGACGTTTCGGCCACAACGCAAGCAGCCGTCCTCAGGTGAAAACCAGGTCTGTCGGAAAACAGCGTCTGAATGAAACAGCGCATGTGCTTGGAGCATGTATATACGCTGGGTTGGAAGGGGGGGAAAGGGCGCCTTGACAAATAATTAGCATATCAAGAGGGTTAATTTTTTGGGTTTTTTCTCCCTCCCAGATACGTGACGGAATTGCGTGGCAGGCCGTCCAACCTCAGCCGACACGGCAGCGAGTGTTCACAGGAAGTCTTGGTCGGCAGCCAGGGACCCTCCAGTGCTGGCGAAGGTTCCTCATCAGGTGACGCAAGCTCTCCCTGCTCGGCGCAGCACGTTTCTCTGCACGGAACGTGGCGGCACGCGGTAGAATTGAAAGACGCGACACAATTTGCCACAAAGTGATACGCAGTCTTCTTGGTTCTTTCGGTAAAGTCGTCACGTAGAAGGGAAGTAATAAAATAATAAAAATAAAACACGATAAATACAATTCTCACGACGTTTCGGCCACAACGCAAGCAGCCGTCCTCAGGTGAAGAACAGGTCTGTCAGACGCTGTCTTTCCGACACACCTGTTCTCCACCTGAAGACGGCTGCTTGCGTTGTGGCCGAAACGTCGTGAGAATTATTTTATGAAGTTTTATTATTTTATTACTTCCCTTCTACGTGATGACTTTACCGAAAGAGCCAAGAGGATGAATTCAATATCTCGTATATGTGTTGAGGTGTAAATGGTTTTATTGCGAATGCTCATCCACTGGTTGCAGGCGTTGCACAGAATGTTGTGACGGGTGAAGCGAGTGGATCCAATGGTCCCCCACGGCCACCGGACGGAGACAACCCACCGGCCCGGCTTGGAACCCTGCCGGACAGCGGCAAGCCTGGCAACGCTCTTTACAAGTAAGTGCCCTTTAGGTGCATCATCGTCGCCACCTTTAAACATCGTCATCATTTTTCGATTTAAAGCTTTTGTGACTGCAGGGATTCATCTTCTTGGTTCTTTCGGTAAAGTCACCACGTAGAAGGGAAGTAATAGAATAATAAAAATAAAACATAATAAAATAATAAAAATAAAACATAATAAAATAAAATAATAAATATAATAATGTTGCTTTCCTTCTACGTGACTTTACCGAAAGAACCAAGAAGATCGTCATCATTCACGCTCTGAAAAAAATTACAAATAAATGAAAGGGATTCTTTGCTGAATAACCTTTTCTACTCTATGAGACATCTCTTTTAGCAGTGGCAAATTATAGTAGGTTTTTACCCTTTTAAACTGGTACAAAACTGACACCTTTATACAAGGCATCATGTTTGCAATAACCACAACACAAGTAGTCAAAAATGCTAATAAAAGAAGCAACTCTGATAATGATAATAATATGCACTGTACTACTAAACCTTTTCTACTGTTGCGTCTGCACACTCCATTCTATTTCATGATGTATAACTGCTTTATTAAAATGGCTTATCCTTGACGTATTCTATGCTGCAACATCTTCCCTAGTCACTGGGTAGGTGGGTTGGTATTGGCCTCGGATATTCTGAGAGCACTCTACACTGCATTAGATATTTTTAGTTGACTTGCGTTGTTTATAACACTCCTTTATTATATACGAGTCTGGGTTCTTCAAGTGTTTAGTTTTATCTGTGTATACTCGACTACAATACTTAAGTCGGTGGGTGAATTAAAACAAAGCAAAGTTCATCTTCTTGGTTCTTTCGGTAAAGTCACGTAGGGAAGTAATAAAATAATAAAACATAATAAAATAATATAATATACATGATAAAATAATTCTCACGACGTTTCAGCCACAACGCAAGCAGCCGTAACGTCGTGAGAATTATTTATTATGTTTTATTTTATTATTTTATTTTATTATTTTATTACTTCCCTTCTACGTGACTTTACCGATAGAACCAAGAAGATGAATCCCTGCAGTCACGAAAGCTTTAAATCGAAAAGCAAAGTTCGTAATGCAGTTTGGGCTGATTTTTGCACTTGGATTTCCAATAAAAAAGTCATTATTTTCCATAGGGATATACAGTACAAGCAATGTAAGTGTTGCTTCACATGTTATTTCTAATCGCAATGTTGACGGAGTAAAAATGTGCAACTTAATGTAATTCAGCCGTACAAAGTACTTTTCGTGCTTCTTGTATTTGGTATTAACATTTTGGAGCCTCGTGTGTTGTTGTTTTTTTGTCTCAAGCTTCCTGAAACAAATCGACTGCTTGGAGTTTTTGGAGAATTTCACTTCGCGTGGATTGTCGAGTGTCCAACAGCTGATGACGTTACTCTACAGGCAAGTTCCTACGGACGCTTCCATGAAACTACGTGTTTTTTTAACGAATACAGGATTGGGATTTATTTTTAAGTTTTTCTGCAACATAAAAAATGCACAAAGAAGCATGGAGAAGATGGAAGGTTGGAATTAAACTTGTAAAGAGTTAATGCGTGTGTAGGTGAGGGTGAGTGGTGAGGGTGAGTGGTGAGCGTGAGTGGTGAGGTAGAGGGGTGAGTGGTGAGGGAGAGGGGTGAGCATGAGTGCTGAGTGGTGAGTGGTGAGGGTGAGTGGTGAGGGTGAGTGGTGAGTAGTGAGGATTGTAGAGCCACAAGAGGGGGCTCTGGGACCCTAGGCAGAGAAGCCCTTGGCGCCAGGCGCTAGGATCCTAGGCACCCCAGACAGCTAAGCCCCTTGGCGCCAGGCGCTAGGATCCCAGGCACCCCAGACAGTTAAGCCCCTTGGCGCCAGGCGCTAGGATCCCAGGCACCCCAGACAGTTAAGCCCCTTGGCGCCAGGCGCTGGGATCCCAGGCACCCCAGACAGTTAAGCCCCTTGGCGCCAGGCGCTAGGATCCCAGGCACCCCAGACGCTTAAGCCCCTTGGTGCCAGGCGCTAGGATCCCAGGCACCCCAGACACTTAAGCCCCTTGGCGCCACCAACGGGGGGCTGTGTGTGCTCTGTGGGATATCTGGGGGCGCACACAACCCCACCCCTTTGGGCACGAGGCATAAAAGGGCAGCTCCCTGGCCGATCGGGGCCAGTCGCAGGTCAAGACCTGCCAGCCAGCCAGCTTAGGACCCTGGACCCCCTTGTCCCGCTTGTCCTTGTAAGGGCCGGGACGCTGTGAGGGCCAGTGGTGGGACTCTGGGACTCCCGGCTCTACGTCCTTGTGAGGGCGAGTTCCGAGGAAGCCAGAGTCCAGACCCGCACCTTGGCTGGGTCGGGTCAGGTAGCCTCCCTAGGGGGATTGTAGCCGGAGGACCCCAGAGCGTAGCCAGAGTAGTGTACCTAGGCAATGTACCTAGGCTGTTACGTAGGCTGTGTACCTAGGCTGTGTACCTAGGCCGTGTACCTAGGCTGTAACAGAGTATCAGGACTGTTGGAGTGTTGTATTGTAATAAAGAAGTTACCTCTACAAGTCTCTCCGGAACCCATTACACGTGGATACCGAAACATGCAAATAAGAAACATTGACAACTGCAAAAAAGTAGATGGGCTTGGGCAAGGGCACATCACTGGACTGCATTGTGGCTGGGAAACAAGACCGGTGTTGGAGTGGCATCCAAAGTAGAGCACACATCACCAAGAGGAGGACCACCACAGAGATTCGAGTTGTGAGATTAGTTTGTGTGTAGGTGATAGATGGATCGTCACATAGCTCGAGTGAGGAGGCTGAGGAGTCCTGATCCAGTAGTGGGTACAAAAAAACATTCCTCTCCTCCTGCGGAGAGAGCGGGTAGGAACGTTGGGTTGCTCGGTCAATGGCCAACTGTGAGGGCGGGCACAAGCCGTCGTGAGTAGGTTAAACGTTGAGTTTTATAAGGGCACCACGGGGTGACCAGCCCCTCCCCACCCAGCCCCACCCCCCACCCAGCCCCACCCCTCCCCACCCTCCCCTCCCCACCCAGCCCCACCCCTCCCCACCCAGCCCCTCCCCACCCTCCCCACCCAGCCCCTCCCCACCCTCCCCTCCCCACCCAGCCCCTCCCCACCCTCCCCTCCCCACCCAGCCCCTCCCCACCCTCCCCTCCCCACCCAGCCCCTCCCCACCCTCCCCTCCACCCAGCCCCACCCCTCCCATTTTGGATGCACGACGGACAGACACAATAATCCCCTGTGGGCTGGTGGAACCAGGTGGTTCCTACCGGTAATACCGACTGATTTTGTACATTAATTACTCTGAGGAATACACGTCGTCAGAAATTTGAAGAATGTTGTATCGTACACTATGGGAACCTCATTTGCCAGTAAAAATATCATAATTGTTTTTTTACCCTTCTATCTGGCAACAAAACTGACACCTTTTTACAAGGAGTCATGTTTGTATAGACCGCAATACCTGTCTCGGGTGTGGACCAATCAACTTCAGGGACAGTGCACATTATCAGAGTTGTGTTTTTTTTTGTATTATGACTGCAGGTATTGTGGTCTATACAAACATGACTCCTTGTAAAAAGGTATCAGTTTTGTTGCCAGATAGAAGGGTAAAAAACCAATTATCAATGTTGTATCGCTGAACAAAATTTGGTGTGTGTGTGTATATTTTCTGTGTTTCGCTGGATTTTAGGACTTGGATGAACTGAGAGTCCCAGAAGCCAAAAAGCGACTGCTGCTGAGTGGAATCGAAGAGCATCATCGTGTGTCGACCACGATCTCCAGCGAGACAACGCTGCAGCGCTCGTCCAGTGAAGAGACAGTCCACCTCAGCTCCGAGGACGACGACGATGACGGCATCGACACCAAGGACGGCATCCGTGCCAAAGTGTTCCCAGCGCTGCGGCCCTCTGGCAGGAATCTGTCCTCTGTCGGCAATCGGTATCGCAAAAGCAGCATTGCCAAATACAATTTGCGAGCGTACGCTCGCCAAGCCGTTGACTTTCCTCGTGCTGGCAGCTGGGGAGGCAGTAGCAGCCTGGAGGTGCCCAGGAGCAAGATGCCAAAATTGTCTTCATGCTCTGACATCGAAGAAGAGGAGGGGCTGGAGTGAGGAGAGGAGGGGGGTGATAAATGGATGATGGTGGGAGGTTGTGTGGGCCGTGGGATGCACTTTGTA